CAACAGATGCGGGCTTTCATTCTCCCTGGCACTGAAGACCGACTGATTCCCCTGGAGTTAACTCAGGCAACTCCTTTGCTTTTCTGTCATATATTCTCTTGTACCTCTGCTGTTGTCTATGTAGCTGTGATCAGTGTGAATCTCCACTTCTTTGCCATACACATACTAGTGGAATTTTTAACAGGCAAATCAAATAGCTAGAAGCTCCTTTTCTATTTGAAAATAATTTTGTTCTGCTGAAGTAAGAGCTCTCGAGGCATATGCAACAGGTCTGTTTCGTTGGAGTAAGCATGAACCCAACCCACTTTGAGAGGCATCTGTTTGAATGGTGACTGGCTGTGTCACATCATAAAACTGCAGAACGGGCTGCTTGCTTAGAGCTACCTTTACTTGCTGCATAGCATGATCCTGTTCTGGTCCCCAATGCCATTCAATATCCTCTTTCAGCAGCAATCTGAGAGGAGCAGTTAGGCTTGACTCATTGGCTATATATAATATGGTGACAGATATTTCACCATTCTCAAGAAACGCATCATTGAAGCTCTGTCTGTTGGCTGAGGCATGTTCATGATTGCATCGACTTTGGCAGGATCAGGTTTAAGTCCTTCTTCAGATACAATATGACCCATGTAGTTGACTGATTTCACTTTGAATTGGATTTTATCCTTGTTGAACTTGACATTCTGTTCTCGTGCTCGCTGCATGACCTTATGAACTATACTGTCATGCTCTGCCTCACTGCTACCTGCAATGATCATGTCGTCTGCTATGACGTGCACCCTGGAATGTCACCAAACGCTTCCTCATTACGCTTCTGCATCACTTCACTAGCAGAGGATATTCCGAAAGGCATGCGCTTAAATCTCTTTTGGCCCCATGGGATGTGGAAAGTGCAAAGATATGATGATTCTTCAGATAGTTTCACGTGCCATTAACTATCCTTCATGTCAACAACTGTGAAAAGGCATTTACCTGCTAGATGGCTCTGAACATCAGCTGGCGTAGGTATCTCATATCTCTCACGCTTTATGGCCTGGTTGAGTGGCTTGGGATTGAGGCATAGCTTAAAGGAGTATAGACTCATAAAAATCCATTTCTCGAATTCTGAAGATTCAGCACTCAATCTATACACTAGAGGTATGTTTTAATCGATCCCCGCCATTTAAAAATTATAAAAAACAATCTATTAGTAGAAAAAAAGCGTTTTAGTAAACTTCACCTCAATATGCATAAATGAAGCAACAGATCTGGGTCACGTGGTACTGTGACGACAATGAGGATAAAGGTCTATGAGACTCAACTGAGCTGCATGTGCATACAGACGGAGAAGTTTAGGAAAGTTGTGTTGAACGGAGTTGAGCAATTTTCGTTATACCTCGGTGTGTTGCCGTGGGATTCACCAAAATTGCAGCTCTCGTTGACAATCTTTTCTTTATCTGTGATGGTCTTCCGTGACTTACTGACTAACTTCGGTGACAATAGTTGCGATGCTCCAGATCATGGTCACCTCAGGAGGTTTAGATCATATCAAGAGCTAGTAGTCTTTCAGATTAACTGTCATCAGTTGGCAAACTTACTGATTGCTGATGCATTTTAAATGCATTGTAGTTGACCAAGAGCTCGTTTACAACAAACCTGTTAATTATGCACCGCTGCACTTCCCAACCCAGGTAATAACAGGTATCAAAATCGTCTTGGTGGGCTTTCATATTTTTCAATATATCTCATTTATTTCATGGGGTTATTTTATTGGTATTTGTAAATGACGTTAAATATCAATATTTAAACAATTGAGTTCAAACACCGTCGTGAACATTAATAAAAGTAATTGCTCTCAGGGTATCTTGAAGCATGCGTATGCCCAGGCATTACTTCCGTGGAAGAAAACGTGTTGAAGAACAAACAGAAAAAAAGAGCGGTATATTAAAGAAAAAATAGGAACTTATGTAATAAAATGGTTCTTAATCCTAATTCATTTATGCTTTGAGGATTTGTTTCTGAAGGTTATTTCATCTGTAGTATAAAATAATTTAAAAGATTTATCATTTTATACCTTGAAATACAAGTTCTGCGTCTGTACACAAAACTTTTTGCAAATTTGTATGCTTTGTCAAACCCAAAAACATGTAGCAGATCAAGGTAAAAGAGCATTGTTTGCTATAAGTAGCATGGAAAAAAATCATTACTTGAATGTTTACTAAATGTGCAGTTTTACATACGTTAGTATAAAAAATAAAAAAATTCCAAGCATGCACAGCAAAATGTAGACTAACGCAAAACATCAAGAACAGCGTAATCACAGCAAATATGCCCCATATAGTAGCTTAATTTCCATTAATAATAAAATCATCATTTAAGTCAAAAATATTCTGGCGATTTAATAAATTTTCTAATTTACCCAGAACGGTATATTTATTTAAAAGGAGGCTAACTGAAATATAGTTTTATTATTTGTTTGTGAAAATTGCCCATGTCACCCTGTTAGTTTGGAGGTCTAAGCTGGATCAAGTCCGTGCTAAAATTCCTATGAAGCTGTGCAGGAAAAATTCTTCCTTTGTTTCTCTAGCTCCTCAATAAACCTGGTGTTCAGATTTTATCTAGTACCCCCAGGTCTGCGGGAGCTGCTCTTTGAAAGTAACGCACAGGTAGATTTTTACCTGAGATAAATATCGCCATCGAGAGTGCAAGACAAAGGCTAAAGGAGAATTGAATGCCATTTAACCCTCTAATTAAGAGATAAAGGGAGTTCCAGTTAGATGGATGATCAAGATAGGACTTGGAAAGGTAACAGGCATTGTTTACCTCAGTTTAATAAAAGTATGCAAGACAGGGTGTCAGCGGTTTAATAAAATAAATTGAATTTCACAAAGAACATGGAGCTCATATGGAATAATCAACAGTACCCTTAAGTCATTCAAATCAAGCTTCACTGTCTAGCTGGTGTATCTTCTTTGATAATAATGGTTTCTTTCTGAAGCCTCCACCCAGACAAACAACGGCAAAATGATTTAACCCCGAACATTTCTTGCACTTCTTACCATAAGCCGGACATCGTTTCGGAAGGTACTTGCATTTAGATGTGGCTTTGGCGGTACGCTGTTTGCTCTTAATAGCATTGACTTCAGGTAAACTTGCCGGGACTGTCATGGCGGCCATTTGCGCTCTGCTTACTTCTGCTGCACGTGCAATGTCAAGCGCTTTTTCTAACGTAAAAGGTTTCCCTTAGCAATCTTTCTTTGACTTTAGGATCCAATACACCAAATACAAGTTTGTCTCTGATTAACAAGTCTTTTTGTTCACCAAACTCACATTTGTCGCTTTGCCTTCTTAGCTTTGTCATCCACGTGTCTACGGATTCCCCTTCTTGCTGACTCCGGCTCCAGAATTGGTATCTCTCAAAAACTACATTGCGCCTGGGCTCACTGTACTGTCTAAATTTTGTTAAGATCGCGTCTACATCTTGTTTCTGTGAGTCATCTTCAAAAGTGAACGTGTTAAAAATATCTAGCGCCTCCGGGCCTGCAGTATGAAGCAAGATGGCGACTTGCGTAGTGCCAGACTTTTCTCCTAATTCGCATGCATTATAGTACACCTTGAATTGCTGCTCCCATTTACGCCAGTTTGTAGCCACATTTTCACTCTGGAAATTAATGTGTGCAGGTGGTTTCAGGGTTTCCATAGACACCATATAACAACTGCCTTATTGTCAGGACACGTGTTTATTAGAATCGGCTCCACTGAGATACACAATGACCTCCCAGGTCAATACACACATCATATAGGTGGCGCACTGCACAATATGTGACAGTGACTTTTAGCTCTTATCCGCCTGAGGCTCTGCACTGTAAAGCTGTACTGAAAAGGAAGGAAAGATATCAGGGGCGGATCCAGAGATATTTTCTGATAGTCTAACAAATTTTCTTTGTTGGTTGATTTTCCACTGTCCCACTACTCTCCCCCCCCCCCCCATGTGCTCAAACTCAAACTACAAATATATATATATATATATATATATATATATACACACACATACACACTATTAAAAATAAATAAATAGATAAATAAATAAATAAGCAAAAGATGTGTGAACCCCAACACTGAGTTTCACGTGCATACCCATAAAGCCCCCTTTAAACTGGACAGCGTCCTTTCTGTGTCCTTTGTGCGACCAGGAAAGTGGCATCGCTGTGGTCATAGAAAGGAGGCACAAACATCGCCTTGGTTGCAGAATAAATGCTCAATGATCAGCCAGTTGTCAGCACATAAAATTTATTTATTTTTTCTCTCAAACGGGGCCGTATCACAGGACGCAGAAAGGACGCCGTCTAGTGTAAAGGGGGCTTAAGCAACTACATCACCTCTGTGGTAATAATTCACACATGGTAATAATTTCAGCTCTTTTATTTAAAGTATCTGTTGGTAGATGTTGGAACCGGAGTGTGATTGGTCCTGTCAAAAGGGGCATAAAACTCATTGAAAAAAGAAAAAAAGAAGTTGTATCGACTGCACATCTCGATCCTTATAATGCGGCCCCAAAGATCCTTTTGAATTCATCTTTTCTTTGCTTTTTTAATGCTATTTTTTAGTTCCAATTTTGTTTTACAATATGCTGCAGCATTTGTTTCTTTTTCCTGGTATGCTTGGTCGTTAGCTTTTATAAGTTTCTTTATATTTTTGTCAAACAGATACACAAACTAGTAGGTTGGTTGACAAAATTCATTGTAAATGGTCCCTTAGGCTATTAGGTTCTCGTGATTGTCTGTGGGCGCATTCCCATAGATTTTAGATTGATCTATCCCCGTGGGAAGTCTCACTCACTGTCAGATAATCCGGCTTAAATGTCCGTCCCACCTACTACAAGCTGTAAGGGGGTAATTAACTTTTATGCCCGCTCCGCTGACAGCTATTTAGCGTGAACCCCCAGGGAGTTAGGTCGATCTAGTTGGATCAATCTAATCTCTGGGAATGGGGTCTTTGAAATGTGTATCTGTTCTTAACAGAGGGAGATCAAGAAGGTCTTTGGGAAGCCCGAGGGGATGAAAATGATGATACAGATGGGCAAGAACAGCCCACGGAAGATGACCAGCCGTGTGCAAACCTTGCACAGCCTTGGGAAGATGACCAGCCGTGTGCAAACCTTGCACAGCCCTGGGAAGATGGCCAGCTGTGTGCAAACCAACAAGAACTGCTACAGGAGGAGCAAGAGCAGCCTGAAACAGAAGCCAGGGGACCTGTACATAACACTACTGATGATGATAGGAATAGGTATGTGATAAAATGTATTTAATTATTACCACCAGCGTGTATACTGGGGGTACTCATGGTTTTAGTTTTGTCATGGTTTTAGTCAAGTCACCCTCATATCTCCAAAACTGGCAGAGATATGCCCATAATAGTTACTATTGAACTTGACTAGGAAGTCAAATATTGGCAGTCTTACTGTGACCTTTAAATTGGCCTTGGACCAACTGGTACTTTTCATGATGAACTGCCCTTTCCATATTTTCCGACCCTAAGATATTCAAAACTGGCAGAGATGCATCCATATAATTTCCAATTGTATCCCCAAAACTGGTAGAGATAGGCCTCTAACACTGTTTATCTTGACTATGAACTCAAATGTTAACAAATGTACCATGATCTTGAATTTGACCTTTGACCTTCTAATTGTAGCCATTTGCCATTGTCATGCACTATCAGTGATAACACAATAAGTGGAAATAGTTTTACCTTTTGTCTTCAAACTTAGGGAACTGATGAATATTTGTAAATGCATATCAAGTTCAAAAATCAGCACATACATATAGATATGATGTTCAGTCTGCCAGGTAAAAAAATTATATGATTATATTCATGTTTACATAAACATTTTTTGGTGTTAATGATGCTAAAAGGCACTGGTCAAGCACATATATGATAGACAACTGTGACTCTTTTATTTGTTTATTTATTTATTTATTCATTCACTCATTTATTTATTTATTTATTTATTTATTTATTTATTTATTTATTTATTTGTGCAAAGTAAATTTAATCTGCATAGAATTTTTTCTGATAATTTGCAAATGCCTTGGCCATTGTGATTACTGTTATTGTAATAACATCTTGAAGATAATAAAATTAAAATGTTTCCCCATTCAGACCTTCAGAGGAAACTGGTGATGAAACCCATGCTAAGGTTTGTGCAGGCACAACTTTTGATCACTCGGACTTGACACAGACAACAGGAGAGGAGGAGGAGGATGGTGCAACCCACTACAAATCTCTTGCAGGAGATGAGGCCACACCACAAACGGGCACACGGGATGAATCGATCGCAAAACATGGGCAACAGGAAGCTGCCTCTGTTGTTAAAGGTGGACAGCAAGTGACTTCCTTGGTCAATGCCCAGCATTCATCTGAGAGTTCAGTAAGTCAAGATGTTGAAGCAGAAATGGAAGAAGAGAGTGATATCACAGAGCAAGACTAGCCTGGTGGTGACACAGGTGTTAAGTTTAATATGACTGCTTCACATAGACCCACAGAGCTGCAAAATGAACCAGCCAACTTACATATCATTAGCCAGGATGATCAGGAAGAAAATGATGCATTGCCCATTGGAGACCCCTTCCTGTTCCTCTCTGATGAAACCCATTAGAGTCTAGGAAGATAACCAAGAAATAGTTCTCAATATAGGACAATTATCTGATTCGAAGTCGGGCAAAATAGATCATTAAAAAAAAAAACATGTCTGTAAAAACTTTTATTTACAGACCCTATAAGTGTCTGTGTCTTTATTTTGTATAGAGGCATGTTGCTTTCGAAAGTCGGCATGATCAGTTTACATATAAGGTAATTTGTATACTTTTTTCTGCATAATGTCTGAACATTTGACAGCTTTGCTGCCTTTTTTTTTGTATGCTGTCTGTATATTTGCTAGCTTTGCTGTCTACTTTAAACATATGTACAGCTTTCAACTTAAAATATGCTCATGCAGCTTTTTATGGACTTGCACCAAAAAGCACTAAAAACAAATGATTTATGTTCTGTACAGAATAATTGGACATATTTTATCTTTATTTTCAACACAAAACAACTATACATTTCTTTCTTGATTTTATTATTTATTACTATTACTTTTTTTATCTATATTAATCTTTTAAATTTTGTATTGTGTTTTATTTGTTAAGTCTACAGAACATTTTTTTCATAAATTTTAGACTCTAAATAAATATATTAATATTATTATTATATGTCACACATTCAGAAACCTTGGGCATACTCCCTGCACTACAACTTATAGAAATCTGCAGGTCCTCCCAATTCTGTGATGGTCTTAACTAAGTACCGAATAGTAAGATATTACCATTATTACCATGATTCCTTTTGAGCTCAATTCTTGCTCTGGCCTTTAGATTCTGCACAATATAAATTGTCATTGTCAAGATGATTAACAGGCCAGGGAGTAAATTTGATTATTTTTATTGTGACATTAATTTGTGGCATTTATCTGTTATAAAATGTAATCGGTATTACTTGTCTTCAGATAACATCAACAAGAAATAATTTATGTCCTTAATGCAAGTTAAAACTCCTACACTTTGTCACTTTGGCTATTGGTAAATCATCTGCACAATAGTTTGTAACTGGTCTTGCGAGAAGTACATCCATCTCTGCCATGTGTTCTTATCTGAGTAACTTCCTTTATTGTTCGAAATTGCTTAGTTATGACAGAAATCAGTTTCTGTGCACTGCTACAATTGGAGGATAAGAGTCATGAGCTGACTGTTCCCAAATACTTGTTTTGTGTGTATATATATATATATATATATATATATCCTGAGTAGCTGAAAATAAGACTGATAATCACTATGGCATAAGGTGGGATGCTTCCATTTTTCCCTGTTTGAAGTCCATACTGACCTTTGACCTCCCATAGTCTGAGCCAAATGTGGACAATAACAAGGCAGAGTAGGAAGTTAATTTCTGGTGATATACGACAGAACAATTCAATTTCATCATTGCATTGTAAAATTTTCCGTAGATTATTTGTTTGACAAGAAAGCAGTAGGTAGTTTGAAATGAAGCTCCAGTTCTCTACCTTAAAGTCACATACAACTTATTCATATAAAATTAAAGGGTCTTGATAAAATGTTATTATGTACAGACACAGATGTGTCTGTACATATTGCCATCACCTGCGTCTGTCGTCGCCGATGCCGATGCCGTGCACTTTCCTTGTAAACACGATAAGTGGAGGGCAGTTTTATTTTTTGGCTTTATATTTACATAGCTGATGAATATTCATAAAACGCAGGTCAAGTTCGAAAATCAGCATGATCGGGCCAGTATTGTAGAAGTTATGCTGTTTTTTCACTTTTCAGCATATTTTTCACAATTTCCTCAGATTCAATTCTTAGGCATGTTAACAGTCTCATTATTAAACTAATAAGATATGTAAAAGTTTTTGTTTGACATTTCCTGCATCTTTACAACATTGTTAGTTGATTTTGTAAAAATGATGGTAAACTTGTTATCGTGTATTGTGTAATAAAGTTTCAAAAATGGAAATAAACTCATATCATTGCAGTTTGTCAGATTCAATCATTCACTATGTTAAGATTCTCAGAATGGAAGAAATTGGACATTTAACACTGCTCTATTGATATTTTTCCCATCTCATCAATTTTCTCAGTTGATCATATAAAAATGGCAGTAAACTGTTAATTTTGTTTTATGTTAAAAATTGTTACAAATGGAAAAAAAAAAAACCATTTCAGAACAGTGCTGTCTTGTTTACATTTTGGCATTTTCAAGTTGTGACTTTGAAGTTCTATGGGCCTGAAGACCTTTGCTAGTCACATTTTCTGAATATCCATGATAATAATATTTTATTATTAAAAATTGATGGTCATTATGCTGTTAAACATTATGTAATATTGCATCAAAATCTGAAAAAAAAAACTATTTTGGGCACTGCTCCCATGATGACCATTTAAGAAAAACCATGTCACTTCAGAATCTCAGAATGGAAGAACTTGGACATTTAACACTGCCCTATTGATATTTTCCCATCTCACCATTTTTATTGGTTGATCATATAAAAATGGCAGTAAACTTTTAATTTTGTTTTATGTTAAAAATTGTTAAAAATGAAAAAAAAAACCTTTTCAGAACATTGCTGTCTTGTTTTTTAATTTAAATTGAATGAGGAAAAAGTTTTAAGGACAATTGCAGGTGTTGAGCCATTTTGTCACAACTCTCTCATTTTGGCTGAGTGTGAACCTAAAGCTTAGGCGAGTTATACTGAGATATCATAGGATGTTTGGATACCAAATACATAAAGAAAAGCATCTATGGGTGCATTCCCATATATTTTAGATCGATCTATCCCCGTGGGGAGTCTCACTAGATTAATGTCAGATAATCCGGCTTAAATGTCCATCCCGCCCACTACAAGCTGTAATTAACTTTTGTGCCCACTCGGCTGACAGCTACATGTATTTATCGTGAACCCCCAGGGAGTTAGGTCGATCTAGTTGGATCGATCTAATCTCTGGGAAGGGGGGGTCTTTGTTGTATTGTATTCAGCCTAATACTGTTATATTGTTTTAGGCATGTTGTACAGAGTCATTGTATTTCACCCTTTATTGTAATATATTTTTTTTTAATTAGGACTTGACATAGGGTTCAGACGTTGATTTAAGGGCAAAATGAGGTGATATTGATAACATTAAACAGTGATTGGGTGTTACAGAAACTTTTTTACATGTACATATATATTATAAGCATTTTACTATCACTGTAGAGGGTATTATTAATATTGGTTGATTCCCCATGTCCTATTCTGTCATATATTTTACTATCACTGTAGAGGGTATTATTAATATTGGAAGATTGTCCATGCCCTATTCTGTCATACATTTTGACATTGTTGTCAACTTGTTTTTAGAGTACTGTTCTTGTTTTTTATTCAATTGTGCAAAGACACCAGCTATATCATGAATATTTTTGATAAGAATTATTTTATAAATCAGTATTTTGTAGTACGGTACTATACATGTCTGTTAATTGCATTTTGACACTAGTTGTACAGAAATGGGAGATATTTTTGTGATGATATTACTGTAAAAGGAGTTTGTGTTTAATTGAAATAATTGATAATAAAATAATAATATTATTTTTAACTTGTATAATCATGCTTTATCAGGCAAAGAGACTATATGCAGGTTGCTCATCTGAAAATCTTTATTTATTTATTCATACTGTTTGCTCAAACAGAATGTTAGAGAAGAAATCTCTTGGGTCACATGTGTGGAGATCACCTGTGTTGTATGAAATTGGGGTTCATACACAGTAGACACACCTTGTAAAATTGTTGTCTCGACAATAAAGTGTTCAGCATGGTTGCAGTTTTGGCAATAGTCCAAAGTGTATTCCCTTATTGGTAATGCATTAACAATTGCTTTTGACCGAAACATTTAAAGCATAAATTTTGTCCACAAATACAAAACTTAACTTACTACGTGAGATAGCCTACTTATAGTATGTATAATTAGAAATAGGAAAAAAGTTCTTAAAAGCTTTAATTTTTACTACAGTTGATGTGAATTTGACTGGCTTAGAATCTTTGCTTAAAGACTGAAAAATAAAATAATAAAAAATATAATGCGACAGGCACAAATATTATCTACTTTAAACAGAAAATAAAAGACCCATTCATCACAATAAAAACAGTGTTTGGCTGTACTGGTGATTTCGCAAAAATATTGTAATCTTCACTATACTCTCAATGTTGTAGTTAATACACTCTGATTTGTAAATAAACCAGTCATATTTTCTGCCTGGCAGTAGGCCAACTTTTCTCCATGGCTACAGCTGTACCCGTTGACCATTTCCTTGATGACCATTGCCGTCCCAGTGCCCATGACAAATATCCCGAAAAATGTGGTCAGTAACATGGGGATGTTCTTAATACAGAGAACTGGCTCATGTTGGAGCTTCATAACACATGCAGGGGGAATGATGAAGGCTAGTGGAGCAGCTGCTAGCACCCCCTGAAATACATATTTTTTAGGAAAATAAATGTTCCATTTTTTGAAAATCCCTGAAATATTTGAAGAAAAGGTTTCATTATGTAAATCTGTGTGGATAAGGACTATTTCCCCTGNGTCAGTAAACTGTTAATTTTGTTTTATGTTAAAAAATGTTAAAAATGGAAAAAAACATTTTAGAACAGTGCTGTCTTGTTTACATTTTGGCATTTTCAAGTTGTGACTTTGAAGTTCCATGGGCCTGAAGTCCTTTACTAGTCACATTTTCTGAATATCCATGATACTAATATTTTATTATTAAAAATTGATGGTCATTATGCTGTTAAACATTATGTAATATTGCATCAAAATTTGAAAAAAAATCCTATTTTGGGCACTGCTCCCATGATGACCATTTAAGAAAAACCATGTCACTTACTGTTCTCAAACTTACAGGAAAGAAACATAGGACTAAAATATAGCTTCAGTAGGCAATGCAATCTGCCAGTTAAACAGTTTTTTTTTTGTGAAATTTTAATTTTTCACATATTGGCATTTTCAAGGTGTGACTTTGAAGTTCCACAGGCTTGAAGACCCATGCTTGTCACATTTTCTGAAAATCCATGATACATATATTTTATTATTAAAAATTGATTTTCATTATGCTGGAAACCATTATGTAATATTGCATCAGAATAGAAGAAAACACAATTTTGGGTACTGCTGCCATGATGACCATTATGGGAAAACCATGTTACATATGATTGCCAAACTTTCAAAAAAGAAATACAGGACTAAAATGCAGACTGAGTTGGAAAAGCAGTTTAATTGACTTCTTTTTCTGGAAGTTTTACATTTTCAAAGGGTGAACTTGAACTCCCATGGGCCTGAAGCCTTATGTTTGTTACACATTTTACTTACATTGGTATTACCTGTTGAGCATAATTAGAATTTGATGTTGAATTTGCAGTTTAACATAATGTACTTTTGCATCAGAATTGACAGTAGCATATTTTGTTATTTCCTGCTTTTTGTCTGTACATTTGACAGCTTTGCTGCCTTG